TTTCTAGTACATGCTCCTTTTATCCATCAAGACAATTAATATCTGTATTCCTCTTTACTTCTGCACAAAGAAGTTATCTTCTCAGTCACCAGATCTTAATTACAGGAACCCTTCTAAGTTTTGCAGAACACCAAAAAGCAATGTTACATTGATCATCAGGAAAGAATATGTAAGTAGCTTCAACCTCATTAGAAATTTACAGAGGCCCATAGCCAGATCTTATTCCATGCAGTACAGCTCTTGTTCATGAATACTGTACTTGGGACTACATACAATACACTACTTGTAGCCTCTATCTAGGTTAAAAATAAATTTCATCCCCTTTTCTGGAAGGTGGTATTGGAACTCGTGTAAAACCTCATACAGTAAATGGAGCAGGGGTGAAATGCTCCCCGTTCGGACCAGATCGCCTGATCCAGTAGCAATGCGGCGGGTGGTTCGGAGAACCGGTAGCAAAAATCCCTGCGCGCCCCCCTCACACCCAGCTAAGCCGCACAATCATCAGAGGCTTTTTTTTTTTTTACTTTTCAAAGCATTTTTTCTACCACCTCTTCCGATGAAAAAATCGTCAGAGGCTTTTCAAAGCATTTTTTTCTGCAACCTCTTGGCCAAAGAGTTGGTAAAAAAAATGTTTTGAAAAGTCTCTGACAATCCCAGCTGAGTTGCCTGATCGGCAGAGAGGCATTTTTTAAAAAGCCTCTCTGACGATCCCAACTGAGTTGCCTGATCAGCAGAGGCTTTTCAAAGCATTAGAAAAAATGCTTTGAAAAGTTCAAAAAAAAAAGTTGGCCACGCCCACCCAGTCACATTACCCTCACCAACCCACGCCCACAGAACCAGTAGTAACAAATTTTACATTTCACCCGACATGGAGGTACAAGGTAAACTCTGTATGTTTCTTTCTGAGAGCTTAAGGGAAGGTAGAGTTTATATAACATTCTGATACGATTCCAAAAAGAATGGGCTTTATTATTTGTTGATAACTGTCTGTACTTTTGCAGAAAAGCATCTTACCCATCACTGTGTGGATCCCACTGTAGCAAAGAACCTGGTAGCTGTTTTTTTGTTTTTTGCTAAATGGGATTTGTTGCTCTCATTAAGATTTGTTGGAAGAAATATCCTTCTGGGTTCAGCTCCACGTGGGGGAAAAAGACACTGGAAACATGGAGACTGCTTGGAAAGATAGTTTAATGGTGGACAGGATCACATGGTTTGAGTTCCTGAACAGAAAAGGGGCCGAGATGCTGTGAGTCCCCAGGTTTTATGCCCTCTCTGAGCTTTGAACTTCCTGGGGCACAGGAAGAGTATCCCGATTGGTTGTCAGACTCCCAGGGGGTGGGGGACTTAGCTAGCCTTGCTGGCTGATGTAATCTTTCCAGGTGCCATGTGGTGAGTTTCTGTTGCTAGATGGGTCCTATTGTGTTGCAGATGATGGTCCATTGACAAAGGTGGAGGGGGGGTTGGGTTTCTGCCTCTGGCCCATTGACAAAGGGAGAGGGGAGGCAGGAAGGTGGGAGCTGCTTTGTCTTTAAAACATGTTTCTCCATTTCTCATCAAGGGAAACATAATATTCTGCCTTTTTAATATTTCCTAAAATATTTCATTCTTCTAGGAAAGGGGTGGGTTCTAACTTCCTACAAATTCTAGCATGGGTGCTCATTTCAGCAGTCAGATGACAATAATATTTACAAAACCATGATGTTAAAGTTACAGATCCACATCCCAAATCCACAAAGTTCTGTCTGTATAGAGGTGGAACCAAGACATTAAAATTCAGTTGGCCAAAAATACTGCAGATGCTGGTTTCTCATGGCCAGATGTCATCCCACATATGGAAATTTTCATGGGCAAAACCATTCCTAACAGAAAACATGATCTTTCTCCTTTTGAAATTGTGAATGGCTGACCAATGCTAGGACAAACCAGCTCCAATTGGCTTATTCAAAAGAAAACCTTGCTGGTCTGGATGAAGATCTAGTAAAGCACTTTCTGTCTCTTACTAAATGATTTCTATTTCCACCATGGTGAAATTAGGATCCTCATCTCCTAATTTAGCAGTATCCTCCTGCATGAAAACTGGGGAAATAATTGTCTGTCATCACAGGGGACAGGTCCAGACTATAAAATGTTTGGATAATTCACACTGCTTTTAAATGCAAGGATTAAACGACCTGAATATACACATCCCATTGCTGGAAACTAACTCCTTTGGAGGATATGTTTTCTAACAAGTAGTTTACTACCACTCCTCCAAAAGAGAAGTGAAGAAAAATCAGTTGAAATACGATCAGGTTAACAATGATCATTACTGGACAATATGAACTTTGAACAGTGTACTCTGAAAGCCTCTGCTCCAGCATTATACTGTTTCTGCCCTGAAATTCTTTCACATATACTTGTATTAAACGACTGTTGGCTTTGTACTCTTCTTAATGGTTTGCAATTGGCAGGAGATATATTTGGTAGTAAAATCTGCTGGTTATTAACAATAATCCTTGCTTACCAACAGCCTTGTACAGCAACATTTGACGTTACGATGGTGCTAAACAAATAAATTTATGACCAATCCTTGCATTTAAGACCACTACAGCATCCTGTCAACTGATCACTATTTGTATGCTACATAACCAGCTTGCAATGAGCAGTTATATATATATATATATATATATATATATATATATATATATATATATATATACACACACACACACACACACACACACACACACACACACACACATATGGCAGAAATAAAATCATACATGATCACGATTTTGCACTTAGTAAACACTGTGTTTAGCAAACCCTAACCTTAACCCTACCTCTTAACATCCTTAACCCCTAACTCTAAGTTGTAAGTCTATCACAATCATGTGATTTTGTGCTTAGCAAGAGTTGTTGGTCCTAATTGTTGTTAACGAAGGACTAACTGTACGCATTATGAAACAATGGAAATGTTAAATGGAAGCCATCTATTATCAGTACTTGAAAAGCTTTGGTATCACAGAATTTTCAGGGTATGAATCACTAATGTTAATCTGCATTTCTTAACCCTTTTTTCTTTTCCTGATTTGTGTGTGCATTTATTTAACAGAACCAAATGGGTGGTAAAACAACATGTGGGAACATTCTTAATATCTGAATATTTCTTGATATCTGAACATACCATTTGAGTGAAGGGACTATGGGTCCAAGAAAACCTTTTATTCTGGAATAAACAGAGATTTCCCTCAAGTAGCACACAAGATTTCTCTCTTTCTTTACTCAACTAAATGAAACCTAAAAAGATCTGGAGATGAAACCCGTTTATATAGATTTATGCAAATAAAAATAAACATATGATTAACCAACATGATTTAAACATATATGTGATTGGTTCATGTGATGGGTGCATATATGGGGCAGTTTTAAGGAATAACAGTGTAGAACTACAAAAACAATGATGTATTGACAGGAGTATTTTAGTATATAGTTCCTTTTTAAAGAATTGTTTTTGGGGGCTTATCTTATATTGGCTTTGTTTCCCAAAGCCTTTGCTTGCCTCCCAGTATATTTTCTGAGCTTTATCAACATTGCTTGGCCTTCTAAGTTCTTTTATCACTGAGCTGACATGGCCTATTGTTTGGGAAGGCAATTTAGGGAGAGGAATGTTTTGCTTATCCTAACCAACGCCATGTTTTCTCCTACATTATGCATAAGAATGATTCTTATACATAATGTAGCATGACAAAAGAAAATTAATAATGGGGATAGTTAAAAAATCCTCAATTTGTCCCTACAGACCAACTTCATTTATAGAAACTCACATTCCATCTCTTGAAGTGTACAACCATTTATAGGCTATCTTTTTAACATTACCTCTCCTCTGTTCTCTTGATATCGCAGCTGCTTTTTGACCTGAAATTTAGGACAGCAAATCTCTGCGGGCCACACTTTTGTTCGGTTTCAACTACATTTCAGTAATATATAAAACAGGTTTATCTGCAAATAAACATCGTCATGTAAAATATAGTAACTGTGATGGGATTGTGTTTTATAGGAAGAACTTGCTCTCACAAAGCCAACTATCATTTTATACAATCCAAATCCGATTCTATGCCCCCCCCCAAAGCATTTTATAATTATGGAACTAAACATAAAATACAGTGAACCACCACCTGCAGTGACTCCTCCTGTATAAATAAGTTCCATTTAATTTGGGGATGTGTGTGCCCTTACCGGCGCCATTACTGGCACTAGTAACTTTTCCTCAGCGCCTGTGTTGAAATGAGATGCTTGAAGCGTCAGCCTGAGGCGTTTTAACTCTGTTCAAGATGAATTCTTGTGTTCCGCCAAAGCTTCAGGGAAACCGTGGCCCCCGTTAGGCTACCTAAACCCAGAAGAGAAGTGAGCTATTTTGAGAGTTCAGGCCTGGGCAAATAACGCAGGCCCGCTACGTTTTTTGATTTCCTCATGTGATTAAAAGTAACTCAATGACTGGGTTGCCACTTTAGCTCAAAGGCAGCGTCCCCACTGTTCCTTCCTGGTGAACTCGTGTAAAAAGGCCGCTTCACAAGAGGGAGTTTAACGTGGGCACGAGAGAAACCCTGGATAAATGGCCATGATTTGCCTATACGGTCGTCCTAAACGTGGTTATTAGGGAGGAGCTCCCACCGAAATGAGTATGGCCTGTCTCTAAATAAACCCGTCCGCTTCCGGCTACCGAAAGGCCTCACTTGCCCTTTTTCCACCATCAAAAAAACCGCTCCCGTCCTCCCCGAGGGAGCCAAAGACCTTCTGGAAGAAGCCGCGGCTGAGCAAAGGCGGGGTGGGGGGGTGGGGGGAGAAAGGAGGGAGGAAGAAGTAGCGGGTGGATATTTCATTGGACGGCCGCCCAAGTCTAGCTCCGCCCTCTTTTAACTCAGAGCTGCTCTCCGAGACGAAGCCGACCCCGCGAACAGAAAACCAGTAAAAATCGGTTGCTGGGCAAGGTGGGGCGTGGCTGACCAATAGCGAGGAGCGCTGGAGAAGGACGAGGAAGAGTGGGCGCGCACACGCCCCTCCTTCCTCTGAGTCCAGGGCTATTCCTGCACGGGGGAGGAGTAAGCGGCTCTTGTTGTCGCCGAGATCTGGCGGGGAGGGGGTGGGGCTCATTTGCTGCTGCCACCGCCCTCTCCTCCTCCTCCTCCCCCCCCCGCCTCGTCTCCTCCTTCCTCATCTCAGCACGCAAGCATTTGGCCATCCCAGCCCCTCTAAGGGATCCCGGCTGGCTGGGTTGGGAGCCAGCGCCGCGCCGCGCCGCCCAGCCGAGGGAGAGGGGATCCCGTGTGTCCCTCGACTCTCTCTGGAGCCCTAAGCAGGTAAGCGAGACCCTGGCTGGCTGGCTGAACTCAGGTCTGAATCGCGGGAACGATGGACACGGGGACAGGCGTCCGGGAAGGTGCTCCGGGAAGCCAAGTGCGGGCTGGTCGCGGCAATGCAAGGCGAGGAAAGACTCTGCTGAGCTAAATTGAGAGGTGGAGGTCAGGAGTTACAACTAAAAGAGACCTGCATTTTGAGTATCTCGGGGAGTTGGTAAGGAAATAGAGGCTGGCGAATGTGGCGGGGGAAACTTATGATTGGGGGTATCTCGGCCAGAAAAACTAAAGAATTGGGGGCCTGGGAGGGGCACCTTACAAACGACGGTGTGAATCGTCTGGGAGAAGCTTACTTGGGTTAGCAAATAACTACGTTGAGCAAGTCGTCGTCATCCCCCCCCCCCAATATACACAGGCAACGTGAGCTGGGGTAATTCCCCCCCCAAAAAAACATATTTTTCAGATGTTTGGAATGATAATTGCCATCATTTTGGTTGCGATAATAGGGGTCGCAGATTACATTTGGAGGGCTCGGATTTGGGGAAGGAACTACAGTTATATAAGGAAGACTGGGAGGGAATGATGGATAAGAGCAAGATGATGGTGGGTATCAGACTGAGATTCACAAAAGCTGCCAATAAGAGGAAATTAGGGTTTTTTTTGGGTGGGGTTGGGGTCAAAGAGTTTGCTGCTAAAAGGAGAAAAAGCCAAGTAAAATTAGTGGGAGAAATTGAGGAGCCCACTGAAGAGATGGCAAGGAAGAAACTGCTGGTGCCCTGGGTGGTATTTGAATGTGGGAAACAATTTTGTGGCAGGCTTGTGGGGCTGAATGAAGGCTTTAGGAAAAGTGGGTGGGGCGTGAACTGGGTAGATTTATTTGACTGAAAGCAGTAGAGAATCAACTGAGGTTTGTTTCTGAAGAGTGGTGCTTTGGTTTAGCTAGTTAGGGTCATGTATAAAAGATATATAGATAATATAGATTACTTTTGAGGCCATTTTTTCAACCAATGAGTGTTAGGAATACAGTATGAATGGGAGGTGGAAGCTGAATCCAGCAATCGGGGAGGGATACTTTACAAATGTTGTGTTGCAATGTTTGGAGAGGTGTATCTTGACAAAGAGATTGAATTTAGAGAGTATATTTTCCAGAAACACTCTTTTCTTGGTAGGATATTGTAGTATAATGGATAAAACATTGGGATTGTAGAATAGGCTTAGAGTATTGATATCTAGATATGTTTTTGGAAACATTTATATAAGGTAGCTGAATAAGATCCCATGTAAGTTGAAGATTGATTAAAAACGGGAAAAGTTACTGCCAGGAAATAAATTTAGAGCTGTATAAAAGGTGTGGGGTCTCCTTCAAGTGAGCTTTAACCAAAGAGCTATAACTGTCTCCATCCAAGTATTAACCTGACCACACCCAGCATAATTTCCAAACTTATGCAAGGTTGGCCAACTTAGAATAAAGTTGTATTCAGGTGATTTGAAACAGCCTAGTGGTTTCTTTGTGGATGAATGATAAAATACTAATGTTCCTATTATTCTTGTTTTTTTATTTTGGAGGTGGCTACTTTAAATTCTGCTTTTGACAGAAAATAAATTTTAAAGTAATACGCAAATTATGCAAAAAGTTTCTATTTGAGTATTTAGGAATATTTAATATTTTCATTGTTCCGAAGAAGTGTCACGCAAATGGGGATTCATGAGATCTGTATCTCAAAATGAAGGATATATTGATAAGTATGTAAAAACTGATTAAAAATCTAGTTAATATTGCATATTTGAAGAGAAGAGAATTGCATTTAAAATAGAAGTCCAGTACTGTAAGATACATTAAATTTGTGTGGGGCTTATTAAAAGAAATTGTGGGAGGATTGGGCACAGACTAGAAACTGGATGGCCAGAAAGCAGATGTGGAAATTATTTGAAACTTAGAACATTGGCGGCATATGAATGAAAAAACATTGAAGTGCTCAAGAATGGTCAGATCAGAGATAGAAAATGTCAATAGGAAAAAGTTCTTGGGTTAGGGTTAGGATAAAGATATTCATCTTTTGCTGGAAACTATCTTGTGATTAACTTTAAGGTGGGCCTAGCTATGGTAGGGACTGAAATAAAACTGTAATTATACAATTGGATGAAAAATTTAGGAACAAGCTTACTATCAACAGAAGTTTTAAGGAGAAATGTTTTCATTTAAGAAATGAGGCGGTTTGAATAAGTTTGCAAATTTGTAAAGCTACGGAGGTGTAGCTTTATCCTTAGGAGCAGAATTGTAATGAGGTTGTCTGTTTTGTTTTAAATAGTTGTCAGTCTGGAGTGGGAAGTTATTTTTCATCAACCAGAAAATAAGAGTCCTGTAAACTAAAATCTTGCTACTGTGGGAGGTGCATGCAACAGCTTCCAGGAACTTCTGTCTAGTTTCATTTTGAATACACTGCCCCTTGTGTCTTAACTCTAATAGAAAATGAAATGCAAAAAGAGGACAATTTCTCACTGCTTTGGTTCCTTATTTTAACAGTTAGAAACAGTTCATTAATGCCAAGTTTAAAATAATGTATTAAGGGCTATACTGCTTTAAGTTTGTTACATTTCTTTAAATTATTGAGTTTTCTACAATAAGCAATACTGTGATCTGAAATTAATCATTTATATTCTTTGTCTATTTGCTGGTAGTAAACTTCACTGGCAATTTCTAATAGCAATTAATGACACATATTTCTGTCCTGTAGTACTTATTTTACTCGTAGGTGTTATACTTGATAAAAAATTAGATTCCAAATTAAAGACTCTAAAAAAAGTAAAGCAGAGAATAATACAATCTGAAAGTATGGCCTATGTAACCCTCATAGCATCTTATGCGGTACAGTACAGAATTTTGAAGATACTGCTTTGTCTGGGTCTTCCTATATTTTTGGAGGGGAAGATCCACGTATAGAGAATAAATCAGTACTACATTTTTTATTTTGGCCTCAGTGTGGTTTTGTAGAGGGGTGTGCATGATGCCTAAGTGTGAGATTTTATACACTTAAAAGCATATCAAATTAATCTGAGACTTTTCAGCTGTGCTATTAGGGCTTTTTTCAGCCCTATGTGTGATGAATAGCAGTGGTGGTAGTTATCTAGTAGGGAACATTGATATATAATTATTTGCTATACTGTACAGCGATCAGTTATTAAATACATTTATTTACACAGTGCTACAAATATCAACAAGGCAGTAAATATGAATTAGAATATCCTTATTAGCCACAATTTAATTTTTGCATTAATCTTTGTAAAATACTTTCACAGTAACCAAATCTTTAATTTTTCTTCAAAATTGCATCATTTGGTTGAAAAGGACTGTTGACATATCAGAACTGTGTGTACACAACTATTTTGGACAAACTGCACCGTATATAAACTATTCTGAGTTAAACTATTTTTAAGTTTAAGGCTTCATTCTTTTTCAAAATGCTGTTTCTGAGATTGCTTAAGGATTTCACAGGGTTGCTGCCTGCAGGCTTCCTTACAAGTTGTAATAGAAGTAGAATTCTAATCTGCTATTCCTCAATTCTTCATAACCCTCATACAGACCTCCTGTCTATCAGCCACTCCACTACTGCTATCTTTCTTCTTTTAGATAGAAGTATGATTCAGGGAAAAGGTAGCAAAATCTCTTTGTACCAATAAAGAAGTATTTGTGGCTCAGGGTTAAAATGAGGGGTCCTTGGTGTTCTCTGGGCTTGGTTGTTTTCTTGCAGATATTTCATTACCCAAACTAGGTAAACCTCATCGGTGCTAGACTAGCTAGTATTGATTTTGAAAACTAAGAAAATATAAAGTTATAAAGAATAAAAAACAAAGTCTCCAGTCCTCTCCTGCTGCTGTATTTTGGTTGATAGTATTCTAAGCCACTACAGGTAGTTCTTGATTTACAAGCACAGTTGGGATCGAAGGTTAACAAATCAGGTGTGATGCGGTTTTACGACTTGGTTGCTGCTGTCATTAAGCAAATCCAGCTTCCTCCATTTATTTGCTTGTTGGCAGCTCCCTAAGAATGTGATAAATGGTGATCACATGAGCCTGAGACGCTGCAACTGTGGTAAATACATACTGATTGCCAAGCACCCACATTTTGATCATATGACTGCAGGGACACTGTGACGGTTGTAAGTGTGAGGACTGGTCAAATGTCACATATTTCAGCACCATTAAAACTTCAAATGGTGGTTAAATTTTCGATCACCTATAGTTACATGAATGGATATATTTTTGATTTGAGCTTATTCGTCCCCTTTAATTTGCCTTTAAAAATGTACGAGATCCTAAAATCTAAGAGAACTAAATTGTAGGAATGAAAACAGATTCAGCAGATGCTACAAGCAGAATCCTAAAGGGTGTTTACTTAAGTGTAATTCCCATTGTTTTCAGTGAAACTTTATTCCTAATGAGTATATTTAGGATTGTCAGTTTAAAAAACTGTTTACAGATCTATATAAATTTTATTAAAATTTTTAAACATAAAAATAAATTAATAAACTATTATAAAGTAAGGGGGGAAGTAATAAAGTACAAGAAAAGAAAGAAATAGAAAAGAAAGAAAATGCAACAGGTGGCTTCCTATATTGTTCACATCAGTTATAAGTACAAATATATTTTGAACTCTCTAAAGTTACATTATATTGCTTTTTCTATAATCTATCCTGTCTAATCTTCAACACTGTATATCACAAATTCACTTTTTTCATTTTTATGCAAAAAGTCACCAATAAATGTAGATGTCTTTTCTATAATCAAAGAAGTCAATATATCTTGCAGCAAAATCTGTCATTCCTCCTTAGTGGGTAATGTAGAATCTTTCCATCTCTGTCCATACAGTAATCTCAGTACTGTAAACCATATATTGAAATAATTTTCCATTTAGTTTTCTAACTGTTTACCAGTGTACAAATCTTCTTGCAATGGCTCCCATTCAGTGTAGTTTACGTTAAAATTTTTATAGATTAAACATAATCGGAAGCTGACAAATCAATATTGGTTATTCAGTTCAAATTAACTGTCAGTTTACTTTCAACAGAAAAAGTTGTTTTGGTGAAGGTACTTCTTGTAAAATCATATATAAATTAATGTGTTAAAATAAAGTACTCCTGGAATTTATGAATGTTTTCATGCTATCTGTCCACTCGGCTTGGTTCTACTTACCTTTACTACCGGTTCGCAACAGGAGCACGCGCAATATCAGGGTGATCAGCCCAGCTGGGCGCCCCACCCCCAGGTGTGTACACAAGAGGTGGCAAGCATGCAGGGGCCGATGGTGTCCGGCAGCAGCTGCAGCCTGCTGGCCCCTTGGTTGGCGACTCTCGGGTTGCATAGCCCGTGCAGCACAGGTGAGTTGATTACTTATCCAAGCAGCAGATGGAGGCATGGGGGGGGGGCACACGATCCGGACGCGGGCCATGGGAAAGCTGAGAGTCAGTGGCTTGGAGCAGACAGGTAGCCGTGGGAGGCTCATCACCTGCACTGCGCAGGCTGCAGCTGTTACCAGGCTCTTTTTTGGGGTTGGGCTTATATTAGAAGCAGGCTAAAAAATCAGGCTAGGGCTTATTTTCTGGTTAGGGCTTATTTTGGGGAAAACACAGGTATACACACACACACACACACACACAAACACACACACACACACACTCATGGAAAAATTAGTAGGCCAAAGAAATTTAGGCATTACAAAATATTCTTGCATTTGTCCTTGCTTCCACCACTTCAGACACTGCCTTTTGTTTTTCTGTTGTAATACACATTTGAAATAAGTCAGTGTTACATTGATTCATAACAATTTTTGCACGTGCAGCACTTTTGACATCCTTTCATGTGGCCATTAAAGACCAGCTGAGCTCTTCATTTGAAACTATTTAAGGCGTGCTGACTGGAGTTTCTTCTTAACCAATCTTACTTCAAGAGTACAGACAAAAACACTGAAAAATTTATTCAAGTGTTTGCTGAATGGAAGATTCCTTGAAAATGAGTTAATACTAGATTACACTGTCCTGTATTCTTTCCAGTCCCAGATTACATGAGGAGCTTTATTTTCTTATTAACAACTTTGGAGATGAGTAATGGAGTAGCTAGCAGCTCACCTGCTTCCTCTGCATACTTTGCTCCCTCCCTCTTCATCCTGGTTATTTTTAATTGAATTTTAAACTTATGATCCTTTATTATAGTGCATTTTAACAGAATGTCTATGAGCCACCAGAGTCACTTCTGGCAAGATGGGAAGCATACAAGTTTAATAAAATAAACAACTTGCATTTACATTAATAAAATATTCTATAAAGATGGAAAGCTGTATTCACATTCAAACAATGGGGAAATACTGTTTTCCTTCAGATCTTCCAATGAACCTGTGGAAGTTAAAGAGAGTTTGGGCAGGAACATCTTTCAAGCCTTCAGGTGTTCAGGTGAATGTCTTAAGTGCATTGTAATTTTGTTTATATGTAGCCCTCGCTTAGGCTACATAATTGGAAACCGTAATTTGGTTGCTATGGCCGGAAGTTGCTAAATGGAAAGTCATATGATTGTGATGGGCTTTTGACTGCATGATCTTATTTCCCCTTCGGTCATTAAATGAAGTGCTCTTCTCTATTAACTCTGCTTGTTGCAAGCCGAGTTGCAAAGTGTTGCACTGGTGATCATGTGACAATGGGACATTGGACATTGTGACAGTTGAAAATGCAAAGATTGGTCACAAAGTTATTTTTTTTAGCCCCACTGTAACTTTGAATGGTTGCTGCACAAAGTCAGCAAGCAAGAACTACCTAGTTCTTTGTATGTATATGTATATTGATACTTACTTGCTTATTGCAAAAAATGAGCATTTTATTGTTTTACTGACTAACTCCATTGGAAAAGAAGGCTTTGAATCTTTCTGTCAAGGCCCTTTGTCTCTGTCAGTTTTCAGACAAACTGGCATACATGTAGTTCTTTGGTGAGCTCTCATGTAGACGCTAGTCAGATTCAAACTTGCTTGGTTCCTACAATCTATATTGTGTATAAAACAGCTTTTAAGCTGTTCTTAAGCCAAGACTAACTACACTCATCTTGTTCATTTCACTTTTCATTTAGAAATTAAAATACTATTTATGTGACTCATAGGTTTTGAGCATAATGCTCATTTTTAAGTAAACATGTAATTGATTTTTATTAATCAAATTTAATAGTGCAAATATACTTAATTTTCAGATTAAATGAGCAATATAAAACAAGCAAATTCCTCTGTAGATGTGAGATTACTTTGAGTGTACTAGCTATTTCATTTATTTTACAGCTCAAATTATTTAACAGTAATTGTATTCTATCTATGTCTTCTGCCTTTACATCAACGATAAACAAAAGGAAACATCTCTGGCTTCTTTCAAAAACATTAATTTCCAATTTATTATGTTTTAAATTAAAGTGATTGGCTCAGATAAATCAAATACATAATTCAGGTTATGGAAGTCAGAACATCACTAATGGGAACTCTTAATTTCTGCATTTTTTTTCACAGTATTCCCTGAAATATGTTCTAATTGATGCATTTTACAAAAAAGAGATAATAGCAATAATTATTAAAATGTATTACTGGTTCATAAAATGTTGACATGTATTCCAAATAATGCTACTACAATTATGTAATAATTGTATAACAATTATGAAATATAATAATATATAAACATGCTTCAATAAACTAGTAATTACTTTGTCCCAGGGAGACAATTGTTTAAAAAAAAATTAAAAAATTGAAGCAAGAAAAATAGCTCATTTGAATGCTTGTATTCCCATTTTTTGTTTCTTACCAAAAACAGAAGTATTGCACCATAGTTGTTTGATTTGCTCCTGAATTTTGGCATCATGTTTTATAGAGCCAGTGTCAACCTCAAAGTGTCGTGGTTGTCATTCAGGTGGACGGGGGGAGGGAAAACCCCACTTACCAGTTGTCATGTCCAGAGTGCGTACCGTTGCTGATTCCACCCTGCTCGCCATTTCCACAGTAGCTGCCGGCACGTGGAAGCCTTGGATATGATCGCTGCCGCTGAGGGCACCTCCATTATAGCAGCTCCAACGCTATCGCCGCTGCACAGAAGTAACTACGCGACTTCTAATATTAAAGACTATTCCTTAGTATTTCGACAAGCTGGAGGGGCGGAGCTTTGTGTACCATACCCACGATGATGGAATGTAACTAGCATTGTGGGGGGAGTATGGGGTGGAGTCACAGGATTGGCGGGTAGCTTTAAAAGGTGATGGGAAGCACTGCGCGGTAGCGCTGATAATATACCATTCTCCACGGGTGTTTGTTGGTTCGTGCCAGAGCCAAGAATAAAGATTGCTAAAACACAGATAACTTCTGGTTTGGGGTCTTATCTCACCGCAGAAATCCGGAACCTGACAGCCAGGAAAAAAAGATTTTAGAAGCTACAAATGGACTTTTACAACACAAGTTCTCCCATCACTTTTTTAATTAAAGGATGAATGAAACATATCAGAAGAGCTCAGGGGCACATATATAATTGTATGTAAATATTTTAGTCTTTCCTATTGTAGTTTGGGATTCATATAAAACATGCCATTAGATGTAAGATACAATGTTTAGTTTAAAATACAATTAAAAGTGTTGAATAATGTTTAATTTCTACATCAATTAATCAGAGTAAACTATTATAAGTCTTTCTTGTGATGTTATTGTAATACTATGTTTAATACCATTTGAGATTCTCTTAAAAGTTTCTGATGACTCATCCATTCATTCAAATTAGAGGCCACCCAGCTCTGGACATGTTATGGCAATATAAGCAAGGGACACTATAAAACAATGAGAACAAATTTAATGCATGTCTGACAAAAAGATAGGTATTTCATTCAACAACTTTAAACAAGATCTCAACATTACTGTACCGCAAGTACAGTACTAATGGGGGAATAGCCGGATTTTCAATGTCATCAAGTTGGAAACCCTCGGGGGAGGGATGCAGTTCCAGAGGGGAGGTCTATAACAGAGAAGACACGCTTCCTAGGTCCTAATAGATGGCATTGTTTGAGTGAAGGGATCTGAAAGGCAAGATAGACAGTACTTCAGATAGTCAGACCAGTGCCATGTGAAGGGCTTTATAGGTGGTAACCAGTATCTCAAACTGTACCTCATTCAGTGGTTCTCTACAGATTATAAACAGAAGGGGCAAGAGCATCAGGCCCTGAGGCACCCCAATGTGAAAGGTTTTCTTGTTTGGCCTCTCCTCCCCTGTACAGGGGACATGGTGGCTCAGTAGCTAAGACGCTGAACTTGTTGATTGACAGGTCGGCAGTTCAGTGGTTCGAATCTCTAGTGCCACGTAATGAGGTGAGCTCCCATTACTTGTCCCAGCTTCTGCCAACCTAGCAGTTCGAAAGCATGTAAAAAATGCAAGTAGAAAAATAGGGACCACCTTTGGTGGGAAGGTAACAGCGTTCCATGCGCCTTTGGCGTTTAGTCATGCCAGCCACATGACCACGGAGAATTCTTCAGACAGCACTGGCTCTTCGGCTTTGAAACGGAGATGAGCACTGCCCCCTAGAGTCGGAAACGACTAGCAGTTGTGCAAGGGGAACCTTTACCCCTGTCCAATACCAACTGGAATCCTCCCCGGAGAAAGGAGAAACCCCCTCCCTGAATCTCTACATTCAGTTAAGTAGGATACCATAATCGATGCTATCAAAAGCAACAGAAGGATCACAGAGAGCTAGGAGGAATATGTTGTGCACATGTGCATGCACCCGCACACACACACATCCGGACTGCCTACCATTCCCAGAAGTCATCAACAGGCATGATCAATGCTATCTCTGTACTATGCCCTGATCTAAAACCTGACTGAAAGGGATCCAGATGATCCACTTTTTCCAGGATAGCAATAGCACTTAGTCTTATATACTACTTTACAGTGCTTTACAGCTCTCTATAAGCAGTTTACAGAGTCTACATATTGCCCCCAAAAATCTGGCTCCTCATTTTACCCATCTCGGAAGGATGGAAGGCTGAGTCAACCTGAGGATCCTCTGGATCTGTTGTTTGACCCTCTTCTCACCAACTTTTCCTTAAAAGGGTTAAGCCTGGACAGAAATCTAACTACATGACCCCTCTCAGAGAGAGCCAGTACAACACAGGAAAGATATGGATAAAAGTCATAGGTTTAAATCAAGGAGAGAAGCAACCTAGAACAATTAATCAATGGAACAACTTGCCTCCAGAAGTTGTAGATGCTCCAACACTGGAAGTTTTTAAGATGAGATTGGACAACCATTTGTCTGAAATGGTATAGGGCAGTGATGACTAACCTTTTTGCCATCGCATGCCAGGAGAGGGGGGGTGGAGGAGGGTTGCGTGCGCACGTGTCCCAGAGCTGAGCTGGCGTGCCCACTAATATGGCTCCGCGTGCCACAGGTAGCACGCGTGCCATAGGTTCACCATCACGGGTGTAGGGTTTCCTACCTAAGCGGGGTTGGACTAGAAGACCTCCAAGCCCGGGTGGTATTCAGCAGGTTCTGACAGGTTCTGGAGAACCGGTAGCGAAAATTTTGAGTAGTTCAGAGAACCAGCAAATGCCACCTGTGGCTGGCCCCCGAGTGGGGTGGGAATGGAGTTTTGCAATATCCTTCCTGCAGGAGGGGGGTGGGAATGGAGATTTTGCAGTATCCTTCCCCTGCCATCCCCACCAAGCCACACCACATCCACCAAGCCATGCCCACAGAACCGGTAGTAAAAAAATTTGAATTCCACCACTGCCTCCAAGGTCCCTTCCAACTCTTCTATTCTATTCGTTTCAATTCTATTCATTTCTATTCTAAATTCATCCCAGGTATGCTCACAATACTATGCCCTAGTAGTTTTCAAACTTAGCATTTCTTAGTGGTCTATCTGAAGTTTCTGAGCTCTGATTAGGAAGGTGAAGCTACCTGTAAGAGTATACCCCTTTAAACAACTTAAACTACTATATCTTTTAAGTAGTGATCATGTAAGTGTTTTGGTATATGGTAAATTAAATATTAGTGTTGTCTTGCTGCCTGATTGGTTTTTGCAGATCATATTAAAATGAGCTGGGGGATACCAAATTTAGAAAAATGTAACTTTATTTTAGCACTCGTATTGGTTTGGAAGTGTGAATTATGTAAATGTGAACCCAACAAATATATGTCTTCCTGAAACCTAACCTTGTGGAATATATTGATTTAATTGTGTCTTAGTCTTATCTCCTAGCAACTACATGGGCAAGTCTATGCAGTTCTTCTGACATTTTTGGAAATAATTTTTCCTTCTTCCTATGGTTGAGACCCCGAATCACCCAGTTGCTTCCCTGTCTAAAGCAAGACTAGAAATCCGCAGTGTTCTTAGCATTTGCACAACGTTGGCTCTCATCTTTGTTGGAGGTGGTTTCCTTTATCTAGAATCCTATTCAGGGAGGTGGGTGTTCTTTCTTCATCACTGAACTACCATCTTGGGGCCTTAAAACCTGTATGTTATTTTACTTCACAATCTGTCAGAGACTTGATTGATCACCATGTGATCTTTTAGTCCATGCTTAACATTTGTTAGTCCATACCATTTTTCCAGTCAGTTGGTTACTGTTTAGGTTCATATTTAGATTATAAATATGAAAAAAAATAGCACTTACAATTTTTCAGTGTAAACAGGAACATTACAGAGTGAGTAATTGGGCAGTTTTGAAAACTGCCCCAAAAGTTTATTTGAAAAAAATTTGGAGTGGTGATATTCAGAAATAATCTGAAACAGCAGCTAATTGTGATGCACAAAGAACCAGGTCCAAAGGTGAAGAGTTCAAATTTACTGATTTATTGCTCAAACTCTGCACAGGAATCTTCTCAGCTGATGGTTTTCCCCTGGCTAAAGCTAAGACTAAACTGATTCCTTGTTTGACTCCTTCTCTTGGCTCTGCCCGTCTCCTACATCACCCCTTCCTCAAAACAGCCCTCCCTTTTTTCCACAGGATCTTCAAAACAGCCCTCCCCTTCTTCCATGGCCTCTTCCTCATCTGAATTCTCATGAGGGAGGGGAGGAAGTGAAGCTGTTTCAGAGGAGACCCCCTCCCCCTCATCTAAAAAATACTTTGAAGCAGGTGAACTTGGCTGTAAAACATCTAGGTGACTAGCAGGTTTCTCCTCCTTTTCCTTCAGAAGTGAAGGCCAAAACTGGATGGTTGGACTGTCCAGTGTCCCACTGGGGATATGCACTCAGTCTGGTTATGTTGTGGCCCGCCAGCGGCCTGCGCAGATCGTGGCTGATCCCGATGAAGAGGAGGCTGGTGTGGTGTCGTTCCAGCAGCCTGCACAGCCAGCGCTCGCATCGGACAACGAGGAGGCTAAAGAGGACATGGTGCCAGAGGCAGAGACTCAGCCAGGGCCTTCAGAACCTCCAGAGGTTCCTTCAAGTGGAGAGAGCAGAGTGGAGGAGCCTCTCCTCAATGTTCGAGCACGCAGGGCTGCCAAAAGGCAGGAGTGGCTACTCAGGAGGAGGAGGCCTCGAGAGTAGGGCTTGAGGATAATTGGCCACTCCCTTAGCCTATTTAAGTCGCACACCATTAGTAAGTTTCTTGCTAGAAACAACTCGTATTTATTATCAGAGTATTTTGGTTTATCAGAATATTATGGTTTATCATATCTTGTTTTCTGGGCTGGTTGTCTTGTTTATTCTTGCTACTTAATAAATTTGATAAGGACCGTTGGTGTGTGTCAATATCCTCGGAAATCCGGAGTTGGGGCAGAACAGGTTAACCCTTCACTTACAGATTCTTTGGGTGGTGCAGGGCAGAGAGTTAGGTGTTTGGAAGTTTGTAGTTTTTCAGGGAAGTATTGGTGGAATTGCTGCACCAAGTCATGGACATGGACATACCTGGCATATTCTAATCCACATCTGGATTCTAGGTACCCCTTCCACTGCATCAAATACTGTGTGCTTTTGCCCCTTTGCCTACAGTCCAGAATTTCTTCTATTTCATATTCCTCCTCCCCTTCCATAATTACTGGCAGTGGCGTTGGGTGCTATGAGCATAAGATTCTAGGATGTTTTTGTTTGACAAGGTAGCGAATGGTGGAAAACTGGGTGGACTTTCATGGAGGGTAGCAATTGCAAATGAAAGGCCACAGGATTGATCTGCCGGAGGACCGTAAATGCCCTCTGAACTTGGTATCCAGCTTCTTAGAGGGTCTAGGTCTAGGAGAAACAAAGAATTTGGTAAAGAACCACACTTTGTCTCCTACAGCAATTGGTAGCCCTTTATATCGATGGACATCTGCAGCCTTCTTGTAAGACTGTCTGTTCGAGCTGTTGTTTCAATGGGGCTTAGGTAGCCAGATGTTTTTGCAAAATAATTAACTGCCCCTGGGATGGTGCCCTCCTCCCTCAAAGCTGCTGATAAAACCCTTGGGTGTCTGCCATGCAGAGCTTGAAAGGGGATCATAGTAATCAATGTGAGCAGAGCATTATTGTAGGAAAATTCTGCTAGGGGCAGTCACCTTCAGTGCAGGTATAGTAACATTTTAAGTATTGCTGGAGCATCTGTTTAGTTTTCTCAGCCTTACCATTCATAGCAGGGTGATTGAGGACAAACTAACCTGGAGATTCAAAAATTGTAACAGTGCCTTCCAGAACCCGGAATAAATTGTCTGTCCCAGTCTGATACCAGTATGGACACCATGTGATCCAAAAAGAGTTGAGCTGTTTCTTTGATAGTGGGCAAACATTTGCAAGGCATGAAATGAGGCATTTTGGTAAAACTTTCTGCTACAACTACTATAGATACAGTATATAGCCATGGACCAGAGGGGTGGCCCATATAATAAAATCCATAGAAATCGTATGCTAAGGATGAGGTGGGGTTGGGAGTGGTGGTAAGAGGCCTTCTGGCTTCTGATGATGATATCTGTGATTATAATCCTATGCATCAGGCTCAGAGGAAGGCTATTAAGAGTTTCCTTCCTGTCCTTCATTGAGACGTGCAGGATTGCTACTCCAACTCGTTCCCATTTTTTTCAGTCCAGCCCAATGGAATATTGAAAATCAATTATTTGAATGGGCTCAAGGCTGCCAGCAAGGTAATTCGAGTTGGTGTAGGGGGAGAAGCCAACAACAACAGAAAGATCAGGTACAGAAATGGGCTGGGTAAATAAAAAAAAATCAAGGGGGAAAAAAATCTTCCATTACCGTATATCCATCCATTTTGGAAAAACAGTTTGATTGTGTACTGGAATGTTGCCTGCTCCTCCATTCTAAGGCCTTCTTTCTTCTCAGGCTCATGATCCAGAATGGAGCTCCTATTAAAGGGCTTATAAGAGTTCCAGAAGCTGTATTTTGTATGTAGCTTCTACTTTGTTTCTTTTCTTTTTTTTACTTCAACATAAGTGTTTTTTATATGCCAGGAGTTGCTTAAAGCCCTCTTCTGAATACTATGTAATTATCATGAAGAAAATCTTAATGCTTTGAAAAATATTTGTCTGTTTAGCTGTATTTGTTGCTTCAATTCAAATGTCTATTAAAGCCTTTAACCAAGCTGCGGATTTAAATTAAAATGTATAAGAAGCGTTAGAACAAGTAATAATTTTGCTCAAACCATTTTTTTCTGGTATGCATCAAGACTCAAAAAGTCTACCTTCTGAGTTGGCTGGGGAGGGGCCAAGACAATCAGCATGATCAATATTAAAAGTATTCATTGAAGAGCCCAACTTTTCTTCAAAACCCCAACTATTTTAATTCAAATAAGAGGAAGTGATTATTGATGCTTTATCTTTTTGGTAAAGTGGAGGGAAAGAAGAAGGAATTCTCAATCTTTTTATATTAGCTTTGAAATCAGAACTTGTAAAAGAGGTTGTTTATTATGATCCTGCATCCTAAGTGCTTTATGAAAATTAACGATATGCATTTTTATTGGCACAATATGCAGGAGTTTTTTCTCTACTTGTCAGAGGAAGAATAAAGAGACTAATTTTTCAGGGACATAGGTTTGTAGGATTTCAGTTGCTCTTGCCTACATGCTGCTAAATACAAGATCCTGGCCAGAATTCCTGGTTTTGTTTTGTTTTTTTAGGTTTTCATGATGCTTTTTTCTGGTATTAATAATCTAAAATTCCTTAAATTCTATTCTGTCTTACCCAAATTACTGGTTAGAACAAGTCAGATGCCTTCCCTTGTCCAAGATTAATCAGTCTAAATGAAGAAGATGCAGCATATTAATGTTATATAACTATCCCTAATTATGTGTCAAGGGGAAGCAACTCTAAGGTCATAATAAATGAAGGAATAGAAAATGAATGGCTAAAAATAAATACTATAAAGTCAGAAATGCTCATTGGTTCATTTTTTTTTCTTCCAGGTTCATGTTGGGAAAAGGTTTGAAACGCAAGTTAAGTGATTATGAAGAGAACATGGCTGGTGTGTCAAGTGCCTTTGATTCCAGTCGAAACCTGCCATACCCACTCAAGCGTCAGTTGGTGCTCAATGTTTGCCTTGCCAAGTTACAGACATACAAGATGCTGGTGGAACCAAATTTACATCGTTCTGTGCTTATAGCCAATACTGTCAGACAAATCCAAGAAGAGATGAGGCAAGAAACTAACCAACAGTCTGTTAACATGTGCAGTGGTTTAAGTACTACCCCTTCCAATTATTTAGGTTTTGATTTCTTTGGAATGCCTTCACACTTTTTTCCTGGTATTATTCAACCGGAATCATATGGTTATGAACCACGGTCTATGGAAAGTCCAATCGAAAATAGCTTGTTGATGGTTTCAGATAATGACATGTCATCAGCCATTTCCTCTATTCTAAAAGATTTGGACTTCATGGAAGATGTGAGTCCACCTTCTTACTTGGCTGGATCTGGAGATGATCAATTCAAGACTTCTGAAATGTCAGTTTTTAAGTTAGAAGAAGATAGACAAGACCTGAAAGGAGTAGAATGTGCATTTGGTTCCTTTGAAATTTCAAATTCAACTAGTTACTTGAAGGACTTAGCTATTGATGACATATTTGAAGATATTGACACTTCAATGTATGATTCAGACTTCGATTGCCCCTCACCAACTCCTCCAAGAACACTGTCTGTGGCAACAACAGAAGAAACATTGAAGACATTTCCTTCTTGTAATTCTTCCTCAGCAAACAACATCCCAATATGCAGAAGTGATATCACTGATTTAG